AAAAGCGCTTACGATTCCCCACGAGAACCGCCAAACGGCCGCTTAAATTGAGGATTCATATACATCTCATCCCGTATTCGCTTCATCTCATCTCTCTGCACAATACCAACTCCAAAGTTAACATCAAGGAGATAACAGTGAAGTAAAAATCAACAAACAAAAAATTTATACACAAAGAGTGGTGAAGAAGATCAAAAGAAGCTAACTGAAAATCAGATCTGTTTCAAATATCCAATCCTGGCCCGACCACGAACAGTACAAATCGTTTCGATCAAACTGCAACTTGAAAATTTTATATATTATTATCTCCTTGATCCCTTTTCACTATTTGGCTTCAATCTTGTGCAGCAACAGGAATTTGAGTTGAGAATAATAATATTAGAGAGATTTTCGTGAACTTTTTTGCGAAACGGAAATCCCACGCACGCAACTCTCCAGCTTTTATAGTCTGCAAAAAATTCGAAAAATGAGCCTGGTTTGGGCTCAAAATGGTGGGCCTTTTGTGCCTATGAGACCTTGAGACGCTTTTAACAATTTATTGGCCCAATAAAATTCCTCTAGAGGCATTTTAGCTTGGGCTCAACTGATTATCAGCCCATTATGAGATCACGCCGTTCATATAATAAATCAGACTTAAAAAAATAAAATATATTACATCAATTTACATTCAAATCTCATTTTTATTAGTATCTATCTATATATAATAAGGATTAACATAATTCAATTTTAGAAATATTTTCCCTCCTATTTCATTAATTATTGTATAAAAATAGTAAATTAACATAAATGGAATCATAATCATATTAATTATCCTACTAGTACATACCCCGTGCGATGCACGTGTTGTATTTATTTTGGTAAAATTTATAATTGAAAGTTATTATCAATAAGTTAATAGAACTTTTATTAGGTAATCGTAAAATGATCATTATGAAAAAATCATAAACTATTAAAAAGCTCTTTGTTTTTCCATGTACAATTATTTTTCACTTGGTAACCGCAAATCGATATTTACTAAGATCCCTCTCCACTTGGT